GAAAGGCAGCACAGGGGCACCAGAAACCTGCTCTGCCCAAACTGGCCATCAATTTAAAGAGCTGAGAGCAGTGCTAAGGAAGATTTACAGCTCAAGGAGCAACCACCTTGCTAGTGCAGTTATGCCAGGAGCCCCAGGACCTAATGGAACATATTCTCTGAGTACCTATAAAACCCTTTAAATGGATCATCCTGTTCTGTTTTCCCCAGGAAAACAGAAAAGAGGCCCATGAGATGGTTGTGCTTCCTAGTCCATCCAGGTTCTTCACACAGCAGCTCTGGAAAAGGGTACAGACACCTTCCCACTGCCACAGCTCCTGGCTGGAAGGGAAATGCTGTCACCAGTGTGTTACAGAAAGGGAAATGAGGCACAAAGCAATTTTAAATAACTCGCCCAAGGTCACAGGAAGCTTATAGCAAAGTCAGTAATTAAACTCAGGACTTGTGAATCCCCAGTCTAGTTTTTTTATCAGAATTCACCCTTTGATGGGTCACCTTTAGTCAGATACCCTCCTACTTTGCACTGCCACTGAATTATACTGGCAGAGGGAATTATTACGAGTTTCTCTTACAACCCAAGATGCTTAAAGGGCTGTTTTGGAAATAAAAGCAAACTTGCAGCATGCTCAGAGCACTGGAACAGACAACTCCTCAGTGCTGCAGAGAGCTGAACCACCAAAGTGATTACAAGGCTCCAGATCAAGCTGGGAAATAAGAAGCTGTTTTTCCCTGCAGTGAATCACTCTGTTTTGAAGGGTGGCCTCCAGTCCACAGTTTGAAGGGTGGTGAGTAAGAACTCACCATTTCACCTTGGATTTGTGTCCTCTTTCCCAAATACCTCTGAGGACACAGAATATTGCAGCCTTAGCTCTGAGCCAGACATCCCAAAGCCTCTCCCTTTGCAGCAGGCCTCTCCTTGAACCTGAGGTGCCACCGGTTTGTGCTGGTACACAACAACAGAATGGACTTTCTCCAGACTTCCACAGGCACAGCTCTTTCCCTTCCTAAAGAAAACCTGTTCAAGCACACCCCAGTCCCTTCAGAGAGCCTGGACACAGCCTTGACTGGAGCCTGGCACAGCCTCAGGGCACCCCTGGCAGACAGGGCTGAAGGCATCTCTGAGCATCCAACTGCTGCTCCTGGAGCCCAGAGCCTTCCTGGGGCACTGCTCACCTCACCAGAGAACAGCAGAGCCACTGCACATCCCAGACCCCAGCAAAGCCAAACCCTCCTGATACACAGATGGGGTTTGTAACAGCACAGACCATCAAACCACATCTGTGGATATCTGCAGTGCTCAGATCCCTTTTCAGCTGATGACAAATAGTGGAAGTGTTGGGCAATAGGTTTGGAAAGGGACACGCAGGATGGAATTTGCCTTTCACAAAATACAATGTGAGGGGCAGGAGTCAAAACTGTTAGTGTGGGGCTAGCCAAGAAGTTTATGCATCCAGTGGCCTCATCTTTCTGAGTACAAGCAATTTAATTTGTCACACTGATATTGCATACATGTCCTGAGCAAACAGGTCAGTAAGAAGTTAGAGTAGGAAGGGAGGAATGAAGTAAAAGAATGCAAGGGCATTTGGAAAACTCCATCTGATCTGCAAGTTGGGGAACTTTGCAGTTACACATACTGATTGGGGGGAGAGGAAAAGAGGAGGTAAGAGAGGCCTCAGAGCTCCATGCTCAGGGCTACAGCCCTGCCTGGGGACTGAGGGGCACTGGGCAGGGCCAGCCCCAGCCATCACCTTCCTAGGGAGCACCAACACTGCCAGCTTAACAGAGAGAAAAGGAGAAAAGAGAGAGAGAGCTTTACCTCTTTTAAGACTCTGTTACAGAAAGAAACCCCACATGCTACCAAATTACATGGACAGTCCTGTTTTGCAAAGCCTTTGTGTGGGGAATTCTTTGCTTTGAGCTCTGCTGTAGATTTGCAGGTGAACGAAACTCCTGTGAAAAATTTACCTCTCAGGGTGAGGAAATGAAATCTCTTTTCCCATCTGTTCTTCACTGGCAGAGCAGAGGCTCTGGGTGCAAGGGCTGCATGAGTGGGACAACCCTGCCCCAGCCCTTTAAGGCCACTCACCAGAGGTCCTTGCTGTCACTCCACACCACAAACCCAGTGAGGAGCACACCCAGGGCTGCAGCTTCACACAGGGCACCAGTTCTGGGAAAGCACCCAGAACAACACCAACATGGTGCTGTCCCCACCATGGATCCTGTCTTCCCTGACACCATCAGATCAGGGTGAACCCCTCAGCCCTCTGCAAGAACCAGCTCAGCAGAAACACCTCCAGAGGGTTATTAGCAACAAGACCAAACTAGCAGCCGTGGGCCTGCAGATCCTTGGGCCCTGAACACAGGGCTGAAGAGGCGTGACATCAACTATGTCAAAAATTTGCTTGCTTTGAAATCCTACTCCTGCTTATTTATGTTCCAGGAGTACCCAGAGGCCTCAGCCAAGCCCTACAGAGCTGGGGCTGCAGAATTGCATTTGCACATGTAATGGCCATAGAATCACAGAATGGTTTGGACTGGAAGGGACCTTTAAAGATCATCTTAGTCCAGCCCTGCTGCCATGGCCAACCCTATACCAGGCTGCACAAAGCCCCACATGTCCACAGAGAGCTCCTGCCCCACAGCCAGCCACAAGCAGCTCAGTTTTCACTAGAAATAACTCACAGCCAGGCTGGAGGTGAGGAGGGGCTGTGGCAGGGCAGGCTCCAGCAAAGAGGCAGCACAAGGGCTGGGAAGGAAGCCAGCAGCCAGGCACCATGGCCAGGGGTGTCCCTGGGGCTCTGCCTCCAGCAGCCAAAACACCCTGGTGAAAATGCTGCACACAAAGCTCTGTAACCCCCACAAGGATGCAGAGCAGGCTGTTAACCTAAACAGACAGGTCTGAGATTGATCTGCAGGAAGGATGAAATCAAGAGGCAAAAATAACATTTCCAACACACCAGTGACATACCAAGCCCTTAATCCAAGGCACTATTTACAGGCCAAGAGCATTCCTTGCTGCTCTTACCTTCAGCTGCAAGGTCTGGGTCAGCAGCTGCCTTGGAGGAGCCTGTTTGAAGGTAACAGACAGCCCAGGGAACAGCCAAGCCCAGAAACCGGGATTTGCAGGCAAAGATAAATAATTAAAGGGACAACTGAGCACAGCTCACTAGACTTTGCTTCACAATGCAAGCGCTGAACGTGGAAAACTCAAACTCCCCAAATGCATTAAATGCCCATTTTGCTATTTCAAAGTCTTCTACTTTCTCCAGCATCCAGATATTTACTTCCCAGATGCACTGCCAGGAATAGGGTCTTGTAAATAAAGTTTTACAAAAAAGGAAGGTTAACACACAACATATTTTTCCCATTACTTCAATACATCCTGCAAGCTCTGCAAGCTTGGTAAAGAAAGAGTCTATTTAAAAATCTAGGGTGGGGAAGAATTAGCTCACCAAAACCATAAACAGATTTGCTTTGCACTTTCAGGCCAAGAGAAAAACAAGACAGGCCATGCACGTATTGATGCACACAATGGCACAATCGTTTTAAAACCAAATGAATTGGGAGGGAGAGGACACCACAGGAGGGTGGGGGAAAAGGAGGAGCAGAGACAAAGGAGCCAAGTTCTTCAGCAAAGATCCTCAGCTTGGTTCTTAAAGATCCCTGAGAAGATACTGAAAATCCTTTGTGGGCCAGCACAGGCCCATGAGCCTGCAGGGAGGATGGCACACTGCTACAAGGCCATCTCTGGGTGCTGCCCTGCAGTAATGAACAGTGTCTTTTTCTGCAGATGGAGCACAAAGGAATCCTTCTTATTTACCCAGACACCTTCCACATGAACCATCCACATCCATTATTGCTGTCTTTCCATGGCAGATAGCAAGGCATATAAAATTTTATGCCCTTCTCCCTACTTTACTTCCTAAGAGATCAAACTCTGTTTACAACAGCAGAGCAAAGCTACCAAAACTTCACCCTCTTCCTCCTGCAAAATTCTCTGTTTATAATAGCCAGACAACCAGAGAGCCACAATGTTCACTGCATTTGCACAATTACTGCCATAAGGTTTTGAGGACCCACCTAGATGCAATTAGTGGAGGGAACTTCAAGGAGGACAGCTCTCAGGGGGCTGAGGGTGCACGTGGATCCCAGCACATCACATGCTTCAGCAGGGTGCTTTAGTTTATTCCAACCAGTTTAACAGGCTACAGAACTGGAAGTGTGTCAGGAAAGCTGCAGCAAACAGCATCAGTCCAGTTACTGTACTCCCAATGCTGATTATTTAATAAAGTCTAGAAACAAGCAGTCTCCAGACGTGGCACAAGCTGGGTAGAAACCACTCCAGGGTTTGAAAATCCCCATTTCCACAGGGGCACTGTCATTTATCACACAGCCATGAACTGGGTGAACAAATTCCCTGCCAGTCTGCTCACTGATGTTCAAGCATGGAGCTTACTTTTTGTACAAATAAAATGGCTTGGCTCTGCTATGAGACCCAATTTCTTCTTCAAAAGCCTGGAACGGTGTAATGGAAAACTGGAGTGTTATTTCCAAGCACACTTCTTCCATCCACAGAAGCCAAAGGGAAAAAGCATTGCTCTCCTGACCCTTCATCCACACCATGGGACAGATGGATATTTATTAAGTGATATGAAAATAAAGTAAATCAGCAACTAGCACACAGATAGAGGAGCCAGCCAGGAGAAAAGTACAAACACACAGGCTATCTGAACTCTGCTTTGTTCAAGGAGTGATATCCAAAAGTAAAGAAAATAAAAATTTCCCCCTTCTCAGGGACACCTGGAAGCATAAGCCAAGCTTGATCTGACCACAGAGCAGCCCCTGCTCTCAAGGCAGTGAAGCCAACCACTGCAGGATCATTCCTTCAGCCAGCAGGGATCTCTGGGACACACTGGAATACACCACATTTCCCTGTCCAGGCTGCACAGCACAGAAGGTTTCACTTCCCACACAGCACCCGAGGTGACAGCAGTGTCCTACCTGCTCGAGGGACCACGTCCTGAGCCTGTCGTTCTCCTGCCCCTCCTCTGTGCTCACCCACATCTTTAAAGTGCCTGCAGTTGCCTCAGTAGCACCAGGATTCAGGGCTGGAAGAGAAGACATGACACCAAAAATTACTGCTGCACTCCTAAAGGAGAAGGCAGCCCTTGGTTAGCAAAGGCTAAAAGCAAAAATAAAACACTGATTAGTTTGAGGTGCCCACCCTGCCATGCTCACACAGTATATCCCACTGAAGCATCCTAAACACCCATCTTTGGATTTTTTTTTTCTCCCTCTCAATTAGTAAAGACATTATTTATCAGAAGTTACCCAAATTTGCTGAATTAATCACCAAGCTCTGAACCCAGTGAAAGCAATCCCCCAGCTGCAGTGTGCTGGAAACCAGTGACACTGCTGCCCAGATCCCTGTGGACTTGGTCCATTCCAGGGCTGGAAACCTCCACTGGCCAGAACATATTTAAAGCAGCAGCCACAGCACCCTGGCTGCCACTGCCACAGCAGCAGCTAAATATAACATGCAGCTCTGCTCATAGCTGTGGCCTTCTTTTCTCCCCTCATTTCTCCCCACTGCCATCCAATCCCTGTTCCCTCACCACTGGAGAAGCAGCAGAGCCAGCTCCGTGTATTTCCTAATTTCTAAACTTTATTGTCTAAAGAGATAAGCAGCCAAGTGGATTTCTGGGATTAAGTTCAGACCAGGGGAGAAAACAGCATATTGAAAAACAAAGAGTCACCCTGGAAAAAGGTGAGCCAGAGCTTGGAACAAGGATGAAAACCAGGAAAATTAGGTTGTGATAGCCCGAGTAAAGGAAAATTTAAAGTTGTTTGTTGCTCCTGCCTGAGCAGTGACAGGTCCTCCTCTCCCAGCAGCATGTCCCAAGTGTCCCATGCCCAATGGCAGGAGGGCTGGAACTATGTGATCTTTAAGGTCCTTTCCAACCCAAACCATCCTGTGATTCTATGATTCTGTGAAGTGTCCCTGTGCTTCAGCCAGCTCCAGTCCCTAAAGTTCCCTGCCAGGGCCCCACTGATCTGCTGCTCAGGTTGGATCCTGCTGACCACGTGCTTTGCACACAACTGTTGCATTTCTTGGATTAAATAAGAAAGTGGCACAGAGAGATTTCACCAAATAACTGGCACAGATCCATTACAACTCAGGAAAGGGCTCCCCAAACCCACCCAACATCCTGCAGACAAGAAATTTCCACTCTGGCTGTAACTTTACAGACCAAACTCAGCAGGATTTAAAAAAAAAAAAAAAAAGCTAAGCAATAGAAGGACACAAAGGTTTTCCCTCACTAGAGACATGCTTGGAGAAAGCTTTCTCCAGAGCTGCAGTGGTGCTGGCTGCTCAATGTTATTTGTTATAAATTATTTGTTGTACATTATTCTTACAATTTAATTCACAGGAAAAGCAAAGCAAGCCCAGAACCAGGGGGAAGAAAAATCAGGAGGCCTAAGTCTGGCAAATCACAAGATTTGAGAGAACAAGAAAAATGCTTTAAATGCCTGCTAGATGCCACAGTTTTTTCTTTTTTCCTTGCTTTTCTTTTTTTTCCTCCCCTAAAATGAAGGGGAGGCTTGCCCCTAACCAATTAGGTTTCAGCACACTTGGAAAGATCCCAGCACTGAATGCCGAGACCTTGACATAACAGGTGACAAACTTTGCTGCGCCAGAAAAAAATCTAACATATAATAAGAAACAAATACTAGACTGCTGATGGAGTGGGTTTTTATTCCAGAAATTTGTGTAAATGTCCTATATTGACTTGCACAACCCCAGCACTTCCCAAACTGAGCGATAACAGCATGGCCCCACTGCTAATCTGCCATTCCTCCTCCTGCAACAGTGCTGCTCCTCTCCTTGTGCCATGGTACATTTAATATCCTTCACACACTCCTCTAGGGATTCAGCATATGCCTAAGACTTCAGCAAACAAGATTTTGCATTCCTTGGAGTACCTAAATTAAAGAGTGACCTCGATCACAGCAGTCAGAACAGCTTCGCGCTTCAAGAAATTAAAGGTGGCTTAAATAGAAACTTAAGCTGGAGGCAGAGATAAATCTGAGTCTTCCAAAACCTCGTTCTGAAATATGGAGTAAAGCCCCTGCAAATTTGGCACCATGAGCCATGATTACCCTGGCAGCTCCTCCTTGAATTCCCTGGAATTGCTGCTTCAAGAAGAATAACTCCGAGGGGGCTGGGGCGAGAGGGCAGGGACTGGGCTTTCCTCAGAGCAGAACATGCAAACAGCTCAGCTGCTTATCACTGAAACTGGAACAGCAACAAGGACAACCAAGGCATGCTTTTTTTCCCTAACTTCTTTCAGATATTAAAATCCCAGCATCCAACAGCCAAGATACACTGAGGTCCTTCTGTCTCAGCTATTTGCAGCGTCTGCCAGAACCACAGCCATCATTACCATCCCACTGCTGTCCTTACAGCTTCCCAAGGCTTGACTGAGCAGCTCAAACCCTGCACACAGTTCAGAATGGAGAATATCTTCCCCAGATAGCAAATTCAACACACACAGTGAGCCATCTTACTGTACCTGGAGGTTTAGCACTGCAATGTCTGAACCAGCTGGACCAGTGGGCTCATGAAAGGGGAGAGAGAAACTCCAACCCTATGTGAGATCCACTGAGGGACTGAACATTTCAAAATCAAATCCACTGCAAAGGCTCAAAAATAGAGATTATTCTGTTTTCCTTTCACCTGACAACCCCACCTCAGATTTTTTTTTTAACAGCTGTTATCTCTCCTTTGGGATCTTAACAGATCTTCTTGCTCTCTTTTGGGATTTTCATTTTTTTTGACTGAAAAGGGAACTAGGCTGTCCCAGAATAAACCCTCCTTGCAGAGCAAAGCCTGGTTCAGCCTGAGACTCACACAAGCAGACACAGCAGCCCCAAGCCCACCTCTCTGTCCACACAGAGGTTGGGCTGAAGAAGAACAAAATGATACAGAAAAACACAAAAACAATTCCCCTGCCCACCAGTCTCCAAAGGGGATGCTTAGAGGGATGCTTCACCTTTTCTTGCAGTTCTCAGAATTAGGAAAAAGCTGAGCTGTGAGGGCACTTTGCAAGATCCCAGCTTTGGCAGAGATGGGCAACTTCCTGAGGTGTCCACATGGAGCTGAAGGAAACTTCTCAGACATGTGAGACCTTCTGACTCTGCCCAGCAGAGACTGTCTGGCCCTGCAGCCTCTGCTGCTTGTGGAGCACTGATTTTAAAAAGTTACCTTTCCCAAGGTACAATTAAAGGACTGACAAGTTACCATTCAGGATCTCTAGAGTTGCTTTTTCTATTTCTCCAGTATTTACAGAGCTGGGAACTCAACTTCACTGATATTTCTTTAAAGAGAAATATCTGTACTAAAAGCAACATCATTCACTCCCCTCTCTGTCTCTTCCAACTCAAGTGAACCAGCATCCTGGAAAAGCTTCACCACTGAGAGAGGCAAGTTGTACAATTTAATGTCCATAACATTCAATTTCAGAACCAAAGAGCATAAAATATTTCTAGGCAACATCTGCTTTTGTAGGGAGGCATGCAAACTTACATTATGTTTAGTCACTTCAATCTTTTTTAAGTGCTGGAAAATTTAAGCCACAGAACATAATTTCTCATCTCTTGTTTATTTTAGACCAAAAACAACCTTCTCCAGCCTCACCACTCCAGGCCAGGAGGGAAGGGAGCACAGGACAACTCCCACTGCAGGGGAATAAACTGCATCTTCCTCATGCATCAGTGACCATCAAGAAAGATCAGAAAGGTATTTCCAAGTTGTTTTAACCTCTGACAACTGATGCTCCACAAGCTCTTCAGACCATCAAATCCTGTTGTTACTTTCAGGCAAAGCACTGTCTTAATTTTGCTCATTATTTAATCTGAACTTTTTTCTCTACAATTTTAGGGCTGTGAGCTCTTGCTCTTCCCACTGTGTGCACAGAGAGCAACCACCCCCTTCCCTTTCAGGCACCTGAAGATGCTGTTCCTGCCTTGCTCTTCTCCCATCTAGAGCCAGACAGCTCAGGTTTGTTCAGACCTCCAGTCCATCTCCTTACAACTCTCTGGATTTCCTCCAGCTACACTCTTCTCCTCTCTCCTGTCAGAACCAGACAAGGACACTTTTCCCCATCCTTCTGCACTATATTACTCCTGATGCTGATGTTTATTCTCAGCTGAGTTTTATGCCCAACCCCCAAGAATTTACAAGCAGATCATGGTCCAGTCCATGTCTACTGGAATAATTTTTTCCATTGCAAAGAGAAGGAATTATGGAATATTCCCATGACGCTAAAAATTCCTATTGCAGAGTTTTAAAAATTACAAATCCTATCCAGGTTGGGTTTAAAACCAACCAAACAGGTGTATACAACATGGTGCATTTAAAGTCAGCAAATGATAATCAGCTTCTCATCCAAGAAAAGGCAACAAGACTCCCACTCCTCTCATTTTCATCTCACTGCCCAAAGGATGCTCCCAGAACTACACAAAGAGATAAATTTAATTAGTATTAAATAAATTTAACTATTATTAACAATTTAACTATTATTAAATAAACTTAACTATTAATAAATTTAACTATTATTAGATTAAATTATAATTCAATCTATTATTTGAGAGCAGTAATCATCACTTTGTTCCATGTTTTATTCAAGGCCTGATGGGGCTCTGATCATCTGTGTGATTTTCCAGTTGAGGAAACAGAAGAGCACTGGTTTCCCTTTCATCCAAAAATCCCAGGCCTACAGCAGGATGTGGGAAGCTGTGGCTCCATTCCTGCACTGCCTGGAGGTTTTGGCATTTTTAGCTCCAGCCCCTGCTGGGATATTCTGGGATGGGGGAACTCTGTCAGTCCCCTGGGATCTGCTTCCCATGCTGAATAGCACATTTAAACTGTCAATACATGCAATAACATGGCTGAACAGTTCCTCTGCCCTTATCTCCAGCCCCTCCCAGCTGCAGTTACTGGTGCCCTTCAAAGTTTTGTGGGAGCAAAGAAACAACAAAAGCAAAAATAAGTTTTTTCCAAAAAAAAATTCCCTTTGACAGGCAGCCCTGCCATTAATTCAGGGAT